CGGTGCGGGTTCCCAGCGCTCTCCTCCCTGCCCGCGGGCAGGCACCTCTCCGTGGCCTTGCGGGCCCTGTCCCGCAGGGCGACGGCCTCGGCCTGCCGCCAGACGCCGTGTTTCAGCGCTTTCATTTGAAACGGTCTTTCGGCGCGCGCTGGGCTTGACGCGTCGTTCGCCTGTAAAACCTCAGTGGATGAAGTAACGGCGCGGTCGTGATTTGTTTTTGCGGGGTGCGCGCCGCCTGCCCTGTGGGAAGGGCGCGCGGGTGGCTCGGGATGGCCTTCTCACGACGGCTTCCTCCTCTGCAAAGAGCAGGAATTAGTTTTCTCCTTTCCCTCTCACGAAACCAGCGTCTTCTGATACCCGTTAACAAAACCTGTTGCTCTTAAACCTCAGGGCTCTGCGTCATTTGTCTCTAAAGGGATCCGGACCCGAGCGCTGAAAAGGACGGCTGGCTCGCCGCTCCTCCGCCGTGCTCTCGGCTCACGAGGTCGGTGTCCGTGCACAGGGGGGACTGTAGCCCGGCATGTCCCGACTTTACAGGGGCATCTCCGCTTCTCTGTAGCATCCCCGCGCTCTCGGGACGCGAGAGAAACGCTTCTGAGAGGCCAGCGTTAAAGCCGTGGGCGGGAGGAAGGGTATCGATCTTTTCATTGTGCGTTTAGAAACTGCGTTTGTGCGGCAGCTGTTTCCCACTTGCGCAGGGACGATGTCAGGACAGTGCCTGATGTGCAGGAGCGCATGGTGATGGAGGAGGCGTTCGCTGGCCACCGCTCCTTCCCGTGATGGATATTGCTTTGTAAAAGCCTCAGTCAGGAACGCAGGCATTGTTCCTGCTGCCGCCTGTGGGTTTTTAGTCCTCTTCGTATCCATTTTCCCGCTGTGATAAAAAGCGCAGCTGAGGTGTGGAGGCTGAAGGCCGTGGCTCTGCGTGCCTCTTCTGTGTGGCCGCCACCACCTTCCTCCTCCTGGCGCGCTGTTATTTCTGGAACCCCCTTGAACTCCTGCACTGCCCTAGCTCCCTTCCCCGCTTGCAGTTTCTCATCAAAACAAACTACTACTGAGCACGGTGAGTCATATTAGAGCTGAGAAAATGGCAAAACCTTTCAGTTTCATCGCTCACTGGCCAACTGTAATCTTTATCTCCAGTACCCTCCTTCCTCTCAGTCTCTTGGTTTTGTACTCATCTCCTGTTGCTGTAATTTAATACTAATAGCATTTTGGTTTGGGTTGTTATTTTTCCGGCAGGTAGGACTTTGGTTTGGTTTTTCAAGTGCAGTATGAATTAATAGCGGCAGCACGCTGGTGTTAATTACCAGCTCTGGAGCTTGTTTTAAAGCACCACAGTGCGTAACCTCAAAAAGCGATCAACCAGACTAGTTGTAGCAACAAAACCACGCGCACTCCCCAAAAACTTTACAAATTTGTTGCACAGAGTGTGGTTCCCGGTGGCTTTTGTGGGCTGCCAGTCGGCCGCAAGCCTCTCGAAACTTGTACGGGATAAGCTCTCCACTGTTAATACAAACCTTTCTTCTCAAAGGCTGAACAAAATCGCGCTGGAAGTCATTGGAATATTAAGTGGTAACGTAGAGCGGTGGATCGGTAATTAGCTTTTATGGTTACGGCAGCCTTTGTTAAATCCTCCTTTTGGTGAAGCAGAAAAAACCCTGAAAATCATGCCCTGTCCTGCCTCAGATTTTGTTATTGTAACGCGGTTTGTTAGCATGGGGTTTTTTCCTCCAACGGAAAAATACGCCCAGCAGCGTTAGGTGGGGTTAGCCGAGAAGCACGCCGCTCGCTAAGGTAGCAAAATTAGCAACATGATATAAGTGGTTTGCCTTTGTGAAAGTATGCCCGTCCTGGGCCTCGTACCCTTGGCTCCTTATCGTGCGGTTCCTCATCGTGCCCCTGGCTGGGCCCGAGGCTTTCTGGCACGTCTCGGCTTTTCTCAGGACTGAAAGAGTGCGCGGGACGGGTTGGGGGGGGAAGGTGTGTGCACACACGCACCTTTTTTCTTGTAAAAGTTGAGCAAAAGTAGTGTTTCAGGTGGGAATATCACGAATAACTTGTCAGGGGAATTCCCATCAACAAATAATCTAGGATTTTTTTTGTTTGTTTTAACCACCGATACGGATACGTCCTATTTTTACGGTATTTGTGCGTGGAGTAGCATCCGTCAGCGGTATGGATGGACGGCTGAAAAAAGTAGTTGACGTTGTTGGTTAAGATTAATTAAACATGCGCTCTTAAGAAACTGGGATTCATTGGACCGTGCTGACAGCAGGATCCTAGGTAGCCTTTATACATCCGGCATACGCGATACAGTCCCGGCTGTTTTTCCTGTTGTAACGTCCTTCCCATACTACGTGCAGTGCCGGTGCTACGGAGCTGTATGTCGCAGCGTCGCACTTCAGCCGAACGGAGCCGTTGGCGGCGGCAGCTGAACTCTGGCTGCGAAAGGGGGGTGGTGGGACAGGGGGGCTCGCTGCTGGAAGGGGCTCCTCGTAGAGAGCTGCCTCTCCCGATAGCCGGTTGACTGAAGTTATTTGTGGCTTGGTAAGCACAGCGACCGCTCCTGTGGTAAGCCAAGGCTGCAAAGATTTGATAAGTCTGTTAAAGAAAATTTCTGTAATCGTTGTTTTCAAGTGGTTGAACCAGTCAAAGAATAGGTTGACGGCCGTGGCTTAGAGCCTAGAGCCGGGTATCTCGCCAAACCTCGGGTGGCCTGTGTGGTAGGGGGAGGAGAAGCGACAGCAGCCTCTCGGGCCCTTATTCTGACACCTTATTGTCGGTGAGAAATGACATGCACAAGTGGCATGTGTGGCCAGACTTAAAATAGCCCCTCGCCGATGCCCTGAGAACACGCAGCCTCCTTATATGTCCCGCTGCACATGCCGCTGCTGCCTGGGGGAGGGGGTGCCCGTTCCCACCGCAGG